TTTGCTGCTAGTCAGTTTTAGACTATTAATTGAAGAGTTTATTCTCCTGTTGATCAGGAGAAAAGTGAGATATAAATATTTTAAATAAATGAATATATTTTAGTTTTTCGTAAATGAATTTTTGGCCCTGACAAGACAAAAAAGTAGGATATGCAATTTTAAATAAACAGAGTAAATGCAAGCAAAATGAACTGCATATTTTTGTCTTGACTCCTTTTTGGTTGTTACACAGGAGTTACAACAGGGCTTGTGAATGGCAAGTGGAACAGGAAAAAGAGACTTCTTAGTCTCCTTCCTTCCTAGTGAAGTTTTCTGAGGGTTTTTAAAACATGGTTTAGTGAGTATTACTACAAGACTGTTTCGGAAGGTGCATGGCTTCTGTCTCTTTAAGAGGGTAACATCTATTGGTGCCATTTTTGTCACAACCACAATATGGCAACGAAAGCAGTGGCACCTCAGAAATTTCAGAACCTTGTAGAGCTCTTAAAAGAACAGAAGCTGTGTTCCTTTTTGAATATACCAGCCCTAAAAAGCACTCAGCTGCAGTTTACCTCAGTTTTCCAGCAGTTAAAATGAATGACTTCTGTCCGACAAACCAGCAGTGAAATGCCAGTTTCCTTCACATTCCCCCCTGCAAGCAGTACAGGAAGATTGTTTGTGTTTGGGGGGGGGGTGTGATTCAGACCTTCCTCTTCCTCTAACTCATGTAGCAGTTCATCCTCATAGATCCCTCTAACCAGAGATGATTTTCTGGGGATTAAAAGGAACTGCAGTAGGGAGGGAACAGAGGGGGAAATTCATTCATTTTACAGAGGTGGCTACAAACTCATTCCTAAGGAGGACTGATTCTGAGGGCAATCATATTTTTGAAGTTCAAAGTGTCTGCCTAGGACAGAGTTGCACATGTTCCTTTCCCTAAAGATTTGGCATCTTAATTTCCCCCAAGAAGCACACTGTTGCTCAATTTGAGTTGCCAATCCCCAGTTGGGGGTGGAGGATGCTCTGGTTTGGAGCCCCTCCCCCCACTTCAGGGCTATCAGAAAGTGGGGGGATGGCCACTGGGCGCTCCATTATATCTATGGAGATGGGTCCCCATAGAGTATAATGGAGAATTGATCCGTGGGTATCTGGGGCTCTGGGAGGGGAGCGTTTTTTGAGGTAGAGGCACTAAATTTTCAGCATAGCTGCTGGTGCCTCTCCTCAACCCCCCCATCCCCGATTCAAAAAGAGTGGACCAGGAAGTCCAATTCTATGAGCCCCAAAAGAAAGTGCCCCCATTCTCCTTTATTTCCAATGAAGGCATTTAAAAGGCATGTGATCCCTTTAAATATGACAGCCAGCTCCCCTGGAACTCGCTTCGGAGTTCAATCATACTTCTTCCCTTCCCGTTTCCCAGAGTCTCCTGGTAAGTTTTCCACCAGCTTCTTGGCCTCACCTGGAAACCCTAGTTGCTCTCTTATTTTGCCTTCCAACATTTGTTCAAAAACCTTTGCTATGTAACTATTTTGCTGAACTGAAATACTGTAATATACTGGTGTGTGTGTGTGTGTGTGTGTCCCCCAACTTCTTCCCAAACCTCAATCAGAACAATTACAAACTCAGAGGAATTTGCATAAAATTGCTGTCTCAACATGTATGCAACAATGGTTTGACAGAAAAGCTGGATGGTAGGTAAATAGTATTTCCCCACCTTTTTGCTTAACTGTGCAGTTTAGCATTCCATGAATCATAGTGTTCCTTAGACAGGGATACAAAAAGCAAAAAGTCTTTTGATTAGGTATAAATGAAGCAATCCGGGCAACTTTAGCTTGTTTACCAAATACTGTAACCCAAATTGCAAATGCTTGCTGCTGCTACAAAACAGAGCTGAGTTTTGCAAACTTATTTTCTGTCAATTTATTGCCATGTCAAAATGCTGAATGCTTGAAGTTTATGGCCAAAATAAAACGTATCTCTACAAAAAGATCAACTGTGATGCCTTTTTATATATAGTTAAATAAATATATACTGCCCACCATTAGCAAAGTTAGTGTTCTGCATACAGATGTGCTAGATCCCGAAATGGGGGAAATGATAGGGCTAGAGGGAAGTCACTCTACTGTTGAGTATGCAGTAACATCCTGTTTTTAAAATAATGTTCCCCTCCCAACTGCCTCAGATAGGGATGTCAGCCTCCAAGTAGGAACTGGGATCCCCTGGAATTACAGCTCATCTCCAGTCTACAAGAGCAGTTCCCCTGGAGAAAATGGATGCTTTGGAGGGTGGACTCAATGGCATTGTACCCCACTGAGGTCCTTGTCCTCCCCAGGATCCATCCCCAAATCTCCAGGAGTTTCCCAACCTGGATCTAGCAACCCTGCCTCCCCAATCCCCTGCCAATGGCCAGGGGGGAACTGGCAACCCTACCCTCAGATCAAGTGAGGACCAAGGGGCTATGTAGGTTGATGACAGAGAGCAGTCAGAGGATGGGCCTAGTAAGGTACACTTGCTAGGAAGCAACCAGTGGCTTTCATTTGTTTCTATGCAGCCTAGAGCCCAGATGAGGAGACATTATAGAACACACACCTTCACCATGTGTTCTCCAAGCCCAGTTCCCTCACTAACTTTGCTGATCCTTGAGAGCCAGTTTGGTGTAGTGGTTAAGTGTGTGGACTCTAATCTGGGAGAACCGGGTTTGATTCCCCACGCCTCCACTTGCAGCTGCTGGATGACCTTGGGCAAGCCATAGTTCTGTCAGAGCTGTTCTTGAAAAAGCAGTTCTGGAAAGAGCTCTCTCAGCCCCACCTACCTCACAGGGTGTCTGTTGTGGGGAGGGGAAGGGAAAGGAGTTTGTAAACTGCTCCGAGACTCTGAGGGAAGGGCGGGGTATAAATCCAATCTCTTCTTCTTTTTGAAGTTATTTGTGGGGCAGCCCCTTGCAACTGAATGAACCTAGGAGACAATTGGCCTCAGAAGATGAGTACTTTCAGTAGCTGATTGCCTTCCCTCTTCAGCCTAACACCATTCACTCATTCATTCATTCGGCTTTTATCTCACTCCTTTCCCCGCCAGGCAGGGCTCAGGGCAACTAGCTGCTTTTTGGGGGCCAAAGGAGCACACTCACCCATCCCTTCAAGCAGAATATTGACATAAAAGCAAGTGCCTTCAGCTCATCCCCTGAGGCCTGAAGGGAGGGTGAGCAAACTCATACATGACATCTTTTGGCCTTGGGGTTGAACATCCAGGATGTTCTGTTCAAGCCAGGTACTTCCTTGATCCTGCAGAGAAGTAGCTTGAAGTGGCAGCTGTCCCCAGAACCAGGTCTGAGAAGACCCTCCACAGCCCTAATGCTTGAATCAAGTGCTTCTCAGCTGCATCAAGCTATGGCAGCTGCATGAAGCTAAGAAGAAGAAGAAGAAGAGATTGGATTTATACCCTGCCCTTCACTTGGAGTCTAAGAAACTTGAGTGGGAACGGAGAAAAGTAAACAGAGGGAAAATAACTTTGCTCTGCCCTTATTCTCCCCCTCATGGGAATGTTTGTATATGTCCCCGCTTGTCTAAGTTTAGATGCAACTATCTAAGTTTAGGAGCTAACACATACAAATAGCTTCTCTGTTGGTTTCTTGACTTGTAATAGTCTTAATTGTAAACATACAGTTCCACTTAAAGTTGGAAGTTTAGCTGGTTTAGATCCACAGGATTTTTTCCTCCCAATGTGACTTCTTTTCTCTCTCTTCCCCCACCCCTACCAAAAAAATCAAAATGTACTTCATGAAACTATTGTATATGAAGCACTTATTAGCCATAATTAAATGGACAATATGAATTTACTACGTCTTTAGGACTCTGGCTTGTTCTGGTTTAGAGCAAGATGATTAATGCAAATACATATTACTTGAGATAACCATTTAGCAGCTAATTTAGCCAAATTTATTACAGCAGTTAGAGGTTTTTCATTTTAGCAGACGGAGACAAGGACATGCCAAGTGTGGGGAGAGGTATGTGAAGGCACACTGCCCTCTAGTGCCCAAAACTTTGCCAGATTAATGGTAAACACAGACAAGGGAAAGAAATAGGAACTGGATTATAAGAATAGCAAACACATTCTCTTAATCCATGCCAAAAACACACCACTTTATTCCAGCAAATGAGATACAGCTCTTTCTCCATTTGTGAAGACAAAAGTATTCAGATATAGAGCCAGGTGGCAGTATGCTGGCTTGAAGCAAATGTGAACATCTGTATTTTTAAGCTTTGAAAACTAAAAATTACACATTTGCACAGAACAGATCGTTTTCACTGGTCTGGCCATGCCTGGTCCTTTTTCAGACAGTGCACAGAGGAGCTCTTGGTTTTAACATGCTCAGTTCCATAGCTCCCTTAGGCCACCATTTCGTCTGCAACTTTTTGGTGGATTTATTTTGCTCCAGTATTAAGCAAAGTCTCAGCAGACATTTTCCCCACTGACCATTGGAGATTTGGTTCATCTGAGGACTGTAAATTCTGTTTGACAAGATCAAAAGAAACAGATGTGTAAGTTCAGTAGTTGATATCGCCTGCAATGAAGAGAAATGATCAAAGAAGTTGGGTAGAGTATCTTCCCAAACCTTTCAAATAGCCAGAATCTCAAAGAGCTTTACCCAAGAGCTATGAATAAATCACATAGAAATTTAACTTTTTTTTAACAATTTGATGTTGAGTGCCTTGAAAATGTCCACACAGGATTCGATGCTCTGCAAGCTGTGGAGATTTGTACTCCTTTATTGCCCTTCCTTGCCTACTTGAGCTGCCAACAGCAGATTAAAATCAGCCTACAAATGGAGCGAAGCCCTGCTTCTGTGCCAGTGTTCCCATGAATGGCTGGATTTATTTGTCATCATAACGACATTTTTTTATTGAACATAGCCGAACAAAGACCCTCCATCTCTGTACATGTGTTATGCCTTATTAGTAGGGAAGAAGCTCCTTTAAGAGCTGTACTAATAATCTTCCTTATTCCTTTTGTTTCCCTCAATACAGTGCTGAACAAGGGTCAGTGTGTAACAAAATACTACCGCTGGATGCAGAAGAATGGGGGTTATATATGGATACAGTCTAGTGCCACCATCGCTATCAATGCTAAGAATGCAAATGAGAAAAACATCATCTGGGTCAATTACCTTCTGAGGTATATCTTTCTGTCAGTTCTGTTATTTGCATTTTTGCTGTCATTGCGTGAGTCATCTTCAACAGGTAATGGGGGAAAAAACCTGTCATGATTCTGCTGTGATCCTGTTCAGAATCAATGGGCCGTATCTAGTGAAGTCTGTCTGGAGAACCTGCCTTGCAGAGTGGGTTTTTTCCTGCTTCCTTCTCCTGCCGCTGCCTATTGAGCCCTCTGAAATTTTGTTCCTGTGGGTCAGCAGACCCTCAGAAACAGCCAATGGGGAAAAATCAGCAGTGGGTGGAGAAAATGACAGAAATTGCTGCCCTCTCTTCAGATAACGGAAGTGATCTTAAGTCTTTGCAACTGTGTGGCTGGATACAAGACAACGTCTACTGGTGGGTAAGAGAAAAAATGTTGACACTGTTGCCTGTTTTTGGAATGCTCGCAGCTTGAGATGTTGTGTTCACTTGCAACAGCTTTATTGCAGAGCAGGTTTATGACCATCCCTTACTTGCATGGTCTCTTTTCTATCATAGAGTTCTGGAGTGAAGCTTGAGCTTCCTGCTGTATTATTACAACACATCTCCTAGAAAAGGTCATTTTCTTTCCCTCGTAGTGTCAGACAATCTGCTCATTATTAGCACTGATGTAGAATTTCTCTTGAAATACTACATTCGTTGCACCTACTTTGTTTTCCAGTTATTTTGAAGTGAATTCACTACAGGCTTTTAAGTCTTATAAAATTATATATCGGTAAGAATGTTCCAAGAGAAATACAGAGCTAGCAAATGCCTGAACTGAGCTCTTCGTGAATAACAAGGACCAGTATAGATTGGTAGATAGAGTTGGAAGAGTCCCATTAAACCCAGAGACATCTTAAACAAGTCTTTCAACTATTGTAAGTAAAACAGAAATAACAGTATTTTATCTCTATAATAGTACTCTTATCTCTTGGGGTTGTAACGGGGGTAAATAAGAATCATAAAATACTTTCACAGAAATACCCCTATTCTAAACATATTTATTCAGGAGGAAGACCTGTTTAATTGAATAAGACTTACTTCTGTGCCTAGGACCTCATACTAATGAGACTCCCCAACACCCCCCCCCAGATTTCATAGTAACAGAACACAAGACAGAAAAATCTTTTTATTCTTTAGTTGTAATTCTACAGTCCTTAAAAGATTATAAATCTAAATTTAAATGTGTTAAACAATAAAACTGATCAACAGAAACAGTCACAAAGAGGAGAATCAGCACTGGACTGCAAACCAGTTTTTTCTTTACTATCTTCATAAATATATTACAGATGTAAAGTTGTGTGACAACTGGACAGATGGAAAAAAGATTGGAAAAAGAGAATGGGTATCTATTGAAAAATATGTTAGCTGTGGCAAGATTTCTTATTGTGAAATTTTGGAAACAACCAAGGATACCTTCAGTAGAAATGTGGTCAAAGAAGTGTTGGTAAATATGATTATAGAGAAAATTATAGTATGCAGACAGCTAAAAGGGAAAAATTATATACTCAAGATCTATTTGTGAAAAGGCGGAGACCTTTTGTTAATTACTGGAACATATTAAAACAAGAGGAAGAGTTAAAAACTGAGATAGTGTCTTGTATTTAGATTTGACATGACTTTTATATTGTTATAAAGAATTCTTTGCAGCCATGTGTTAAGAATTAAGGGTCTCTTTTTAGAATTAATTCGTATTATATAGTTGAGCTTGGTTAAGATTTTAGAATACATCTTATAATTTTGCTGTAATGTTGTAATAGTCATTAAGTAATTGAACTACCTCTTTTCTTCTTTCATGATTACAGTTTTGTTAAGTATACACAATAAATGTGACAAAAACAAAAACAGCCCTTCCTTAAATGCAACGACTTGCTAATAGTGATCCGTGCGATGGTCACGTCAAGATTGGACTACTGTAACGCTCTCTACATGGGGCTGCCCTTATCTCAAATTTGGAAGCTGCAGCTAGTGCAGAACGCTGCAGCCAGGCTGTTGATGGGTCTCCCCGTGCGGGAGCACATCCAGCCTGCACTGAAGGCATTGCACTGGCTGCTGATAGCATACTGGATTCGTTTCAAGGTGCTGGTTTTAACCTTTAAAGCCCTATATGGTCAGGGTCTGGCATACCTAAGGTACCGCCTTTCCTCACATGTTCCCCGGAGAGCACTGCATTCAGTGATGCAAAACCAGTTGGTCCTCCCAGGCCCCAAAGATGCCAGGCTGGCTACGGCCAGGGCCTTCTCAGTGGCCACTCCATACTGGTGGAATGAACTCCCAGAAGAGATCAAGGCCCTGCAGGATCTTTTACAGTTCCACAGGGCCTGCAAGACAGAGCTCTTCCACCAGGCTTTCGACTAAGGAGTTGAATTACACACCGAGGAATGTCCCTGTGCCCTGGCTTTACTATCTTTCATCTCCAGCCTGTGAACTGAGCTGGCATGAATACCATTGGAATATACTATAAATAACTTTGCTCTTGCTTTTATCAGATCATGTTCCAGCATTTTAGGAGTATTTTAAATTATTGTCATTTTATGTTTATGTCTATGGCCCCTGTCACACGGGCCGGATATCACGGGGGGGAGGCGTGGCTAATTGCCCCGGTGCAGTTTGATGCAGGATTACGTGATCAGATGCGCCAGCGGCACACCATGGGTCCTTCGCTCGGTACCGGCGGGTAAACGAGGGACCGGAGGGGAATGCCGCGCGCCGGCGCGATCACACCACGGGCGTTTGGAGGCAGTCCGTGGCAAATGTTTACTAGTACCTTGGAGGTACTAGTTTTTTAAGGTGCATTGTTGGTGGTAAGCCACGGGTGCGCTCCACTTCCCAGATGTTGGGGTGTGATCACATCCAGATAATCCGCCTACCATCCGTGCCTCTCCCGCGGCAACTTTGCCGTGTGACCGGGGCCTGCAACAGGTTTTAATTGTATCTTATATGAAACTCTGTGTAAGCCGCCCTGAGCCCACCTTGGCGGGGAGGGTGGGATATAAACCAAACTAAATAAATAAATAAAATCAGGGAGCAGCAAAAACAAACTCAAATAGCACCACATTAAGTAATATTTTCACCTGGTTCCCAAAACTTCAAAAAGTAGGTGCCTGGCAAATGGTTGTCAAGGGGGGTGGGGGGTGCTTGGCTTTGATAGCCAGCCACCTCAGCTCGGAAGGTGGGGCCACATAGAAAAAGGCCTCCCAAAGAAGATCTGAACAGTTAGACATGGTTATATAGGATCAGGTTGCCCTTTAGGTTTGTGTGGGATCAAATGTGAGAGTACAGGAGTAAGAACCAGCACTTTGAATTGTGACTGAAAACAAATCTGTAGCTAGTAACACTTTTTAAGAACTGCTGAACTGTTTTCTCTTCTGTCATTACTAGTCAGCAGTCTTCCCAGTATTCTTACTTTGAAGGGAAGCTCAGCCTCCCCTCAGCTGGAAGTGACTGTTGAGGGAAGGGATTGATTTTAGAGATTGTCACCCCAATTCCCTCCTCCCCCTTGTGAGAGCTTCACCAGTGAACATAAGCTAAGCTTCCCTTCACCGTGAAGTGATTGTCAGAGAGGGAATTGGACTCAGAGAGGAAATCTTTATACAGTTGCAGTCCCCCACCCCCACAACTCAGTCATGAAGCTAAGGCTTCCCAACAGGCAAGTACTATCATTGGTGCACTGTGCTCTGAGGCTGGGGCTTTTAGAAGCTTAAGGGAAATATGCATGGTAATCTATCTCCATGTGTTTGAGATGGCGGGAAGGCCATTCTGTTGATAGAGACTCTCTGCTACTCTGCTGTCCCTCTGCCCAGTTTGGCACACTAAGAATCCACATAAAGAAATCTGTTTCATAAATACATAGATACTATATGATTGATAGCTCTCAGTGGCTATGAAGGACTTAACTGTAGTGTTTGAGAAAATGTAAGGAGTATGGAAAGCAGATGGGAGCAACTGCTTCACATACCTATAATCTCAATCAGATGGACTGTCCATTCTTTCTTTACTACAGCCATTAAGACTGCCCTGTGAGAGTATTTCAGGGGAGGGAGAGAGGGAAGCAAAAACACCTCAGGATCAGTTCAGAATTACTCTTCCTGTTGCTCTCTGTGTTTGGACGAACTAAATAATCTCCACGAGTGGGAGAATTTTTATTTTTATTTTAAAAAACACTTTTCTTTTTATTTAAAAAAATCCATAAGGGTAGTTGCAGCTAAAAGTCTGAGCAGGTATCTGTAGGAGTTATACTTCAATAGAAAAATAAACAACAAGAACCCAAAATGTTCACTTGTATGGATTAGATGAACCGATACATTTGCAAGTATCATCGATACTTAGTACTTACTATAACCAGAATAAAGCATAGTTCAGCTGTTATAGGGTACTAAATTCATGTTCAGTAATGAAGAATTCTGAAAGGTTAGCTTCTCCATGGTGACTTTCTGCACATTGTAAGAAGCCAAAATGAAGACTCCAAACTTATCAAGTTTAACTAATTATAGTTGGGGAGTATTACATCAAAGTGATATGAAACTCTTAATGCAGTCCTAAAAACACTTTCCTATGGGGCAAGCCCCATTGAATAGCCTTCAGTAAGATTCTGAATAGACTCACTTGGAATTGCACTGAGTATCACCTTGAGTGTCTTCAAACAGCCTTTGCAAAGATAGCTAGCGAAGAAGAAGAAGAAGAAGAAGAAGAAGAAGAAGAAGAAGAAGAAGAAGAAGAGAAGAGATTGGATTTATACCCTGCCCTTCACTACCCAAAGGAGTCTCAGAGCGGCTTACAAACTCCTTTCCCTTCCCCTCCCCACAACAGACACCCTGTGAGGTAGGTGGGGCTGAGAGAGCTCTGACAGAAACGGCTGATTTTCAAGAACAGCTGTGCCAGAACTATGGCTTGCCCAAGGTCATCCAGCAGGTGCAAGTGGGGGAGTGGAGAATCAAACCCGGTTCTCCCAGATTAGAGTCCATGCACTTAACCACTACACCAAACTAGGATCTAACCTCATGTTTTTTTAAAAAACTTCCCTCCTCCTGGAAAGTTTTGTTCCAGAAGACTTGTATTATAGCCTACCGATTATTCACATAATCTCCAACAGTTAACTGTGCATTTTGTTTTGTAGATATGATGAATTTTCAATTAGAAGGCTTTCTGCTTTCATTTTTTTGTTGCTTTCACTTTAATATTTTAAAAATTTATTTTTCAGTCTGTTCCTCCCTTATGTGTTCCTTTATGTTTTTCATATACAAGCTGTAAAGTATTTAATGGAATTGTTTCTTGTTGTGAGCTGCTGCAAGAGTTGAGTTAAAACACAAGGTACAAATTAAGTTGGTGATATAATTAAATGATTTTTAAAATAGTTCTCAACACTTTCCCCCATTCTCAACATTTTCGAACATTTTAGCAAGACCAGGCTCTAGTAAGGCAAACTGAATGTGGAGCTATGCAAATGAATGGGCAGAGCTATATAAGGTACAGGCTTGACTCTCACTGGCGTTTAACCCCTATATCCAGATTATGCCCCAAATTGTACCCCTTTATATTCTGTCATATAAATTAATGGCTGCCATTCACTTCTATGGGGAAAAGTAAATTACTGCATATCTGGGCACTTTTGTGGTGAGGGGAATGCCCCTATGGCTAGCTCCTACTGACAGAGATCCCATGGGTATGCCTCTGTATACAGAGATGCACTTCAGCCCTGCAACTTCTTGCAATATACAATTACTGTTTAAACACAGACTCTGCCTCTAATGATAATGATGGGCATGTTGCTAGTTCCATCATGTAGAAGGTCTAAGACTGAGCCATCTGACTTATTTGTTTCTACTTTAAATAGACCCATGGAGCCTCCAACTTTTATTGGCTTATTTATTCATTCATTCATTAAAACATTTATATCCTGCCTTTCCTCATGGTTCAAGGCAACTCACAATGACAATTTTTAAAAAATTCTGTTAAAACCAAAAATAAAATAGCAAACGCCATAGCAGCACTTTTAACACTCCCCCCCCACACACACACACACAACTTGCTAAAGTTAAACTCATGGGCTTCCAATGGAATCACCTTAGATCAGGAAAACAGCTCAGAGAAGAATTAATCACGCACATCCCGTCATAACTAAGTCTTGCCAACTCAGCAAGGCAGGGAGGGTAACACAACATGAACAAACGTCAAATGTTCATAAGCAAAGGTTTTGTTTTGCTTTCTGCTGGCTTTCATGCAATTACAAGAGTATAGCTTATCTATAATTTATTTTTAGTTGAAATGTGGATCTGGGCTCATCACCAGCTAATTGAGATGCTTTCAGACATATGCTTTTGAGACTTACTGTAAACACCTATCTATACTCAGTAAGTGGAAGGGACTTCCTTTTTCTATATGCTGTGTTTAACTAGTACATCATTTACTTTTAAATAACACATTTTTAAAAGAAGATCCATCACTATAGCTCATAGCCAAAGGCTGTCCTCCATGAAGATAGCCAAAGTCATGCAGTGGGGCCAACTAGAGCCATGACATGGGATTTTGTAATTTTGTAAACCTTCGGAAACCCATAGAGTTCCAGAAAACTTTTGAGTTTTGGGGAGGGAAGTAACTGTCTGGGAGTTTACTTGCAAACACTGCAGAATAGCAAAAGACACCCCAACTGCCTATGTTCAACTGATGGCAGAATAATGACAAGAAAAGGAACTGCAGCACAGTGGGGGGTGAGAAGTTGGAGCTCAGGTGTAAGAGGGGGAAAGCTAGAGCTGGGGACAGAGTTGGAATAAAGGGAATAAGATTGTGGTTTGTCTGTTGAAAATTGTAGACAGTTTTTAATCTTTTTATCTCTCCTCGTGTTCTCTACCTCATTATTGGAGATATTGTTCTGTTTTTACTTCACTGCTTTTTGTAATTGAGTTTTAGTGCACTGTTTATTGTAATAGTTTACTGGTCTTTATTGCATTATTTTATAACTCTGTAATCCGCCTGAAGTCTCAGGCAGAACAGCAGAAGGTAAATGAAGTAAATAAGGAAGGGTGGGATATAAGTCAGATAAATAAACAATAAATAAACACATAAATAAAAGAAAAATTAGATTCTCCCTCGCCCTGCTTTCTGCAGGAATTCATTATAATATATTATAATTGAAAGCAGAAGCTCTTTGGGGGCAATTTAATGTCTGAGGAGGGCAACTGATGCAAATACCACAGATGAAGTTTCTTGAGAAGGGCAGTTGTTCTTTTCTGAACATCCTACGGTACTCCCAGAAATTGGCTGAGGTCTCATAGGGCTTTTCTGCATGGGTTTACTGTTGGTTCTAGTACCATGCTGTGTTGATATATTCCTTGATTACTGTACGCATTTTTGTGCCTTTAGTTTTCACTTAGAGTTTTTTTGGTTTTTCTCTGGTATTTTCTTTTCTCTGTTTCTTTTGAGACAACTTTTACCTCAATCTTATTTTGGAAGCTGATTTTGAGTTTGCTTTTTCTTGGTGCGTAATGTTTCTGTTGGCTTTCTTTGTCTCTCCCACTACCACTCACCTCTAGCCCACTTTTTAATGACTGGACTGCCATGAAGATAGGTCCAGGTGGTCAGCCATGTTGATCTGAAGCAGCAGAACAAATTTAGAGTCCAGTGGCACCTTTAAGACCAACAAAGGTTTATTCAAGGTATGAGCTTTCGTGTGCAAGGCACACTTCTTCACATTTGAAAAAGTGTGCCTTGCACATGAAAGCTCATACCTTGAATGAACCTTTGTTGGTCTTAAAGGTGCCACTGGACTCTAAATTTGTTGGACTGTCATGGTTAGGGATGGGCGTGCACCAGCTCAGAAACTAAAGTTTGTGATGGATTTTGGCCAGTTTGTCCTTCATTAAGTGAAGTTCGTGGCAGGGTAACTGGCACAAACTTTCCATGCCCAGAAAGCACTTTCCTGGGGGCACCTTCTTTAGGGAGCTGTAACTTGAAACTCATAAATCCAATCCTCACCAAACTTGGACGGCACGTAGAGGAGAGTGAGCCAGAGATCTCTGGCAAGATTGATGACTCTAGCATGCCAGGGGGGCATTCTACTGAGTCATGAACCTCACAAACTGAACCAGTTCATTTAGCCCCCAAAAGTTCGTGACAGTTCATGGTTTGCAAACTGGGCATGCCACAAACCAAACCACATTTTCCCAGTTCATGCCCATCCCTCATCATGGTCAACTCACTCGCTCCCCCCCACCGAAGATGAGTTATTTTCCTTTAAATAGCACAAAAATATTGATATAGTGCTGGAGCATTGTAGCAACAGGCTTAGCAAGTTCTCTGAATTCCCAGCTTTCATTAAAAAAAAAAAGGAACTACCTAGCCCCTTCCCTCACAGAGATATAAGGGAAAAGGCATACCTCCACCAGGGGAGGAGCTAGAGACTTACTTTTTTAAATGAAAGCCAGTGCCTTTTTTAAAAAGGAGAGGGTGCTGTGACACTACCAAAGACATCACTGATGATGACAGCATCCTCCCTTGAAAATTCTCATTATTTAAGACATGAGTGGAAGAAAATAAACTGATTCCACAACTGTGAAAATGCAGAGGGAGGGCACACATGCAGGAGAATCATGCCAAAACCAATTCCAATGCTTGCGGATTGACTGCCAAAAAAATCAAGAGTAAGTTGAGCATGAGGGAAAGGCCATAACTACAGTGATCATAGTGACTAGTCCTCTTGCTTGCCCTATTGATTGGGCGATTCAGTGGACAAATAAGATCATATGAACCAGCGCCTAAACAATTCAAAATGGAATGAAATGCTGTCCCATCCCCCCCCCTCAGTGAACATTGATACCTTCCATATCCAGTGGTAATGTATGCATTCACAGTTCTTTTTTCATCCACGTCTGGACTTTCACACAATGTGCCCTTATCATGTCTTTTATGAATTGTAGAATTGCTTGGTTATATGTACTTCCCTGAATTCCAAAGGAATTAAGAAATGCAACAGGACTCAGAGTTGTTTCATGACAAATTCAAATAAGAACTCTGCCTGTTGCATACAGCTTCATAGCTCCTTTTGGCAACCTTCTCTAGCTTCCAGGCTGATTATCAATAATCTGAAGAAATGTGCATGCACATAAAGGCTTATACCCAGAATAAAATTTTGTTGGTCTTAAAGGTACCACTGGACTCAAACTTTGTTCTGTTAATAATCTGTTACTCTTAACTCCATACACTGCAAATTGATATGTAATACTTTTGCCCATTAAGTCTTGCTTGGAGAAAACAATTATGCAGAAGAAGAAATGAGAATCCCCGTAAGATGCCAAGAAGAATTTAAGGGGTAATAATGTCTTGGTTAAATGGCAGAACATGTTCTTGATGTCTTTATGGCACTGGTTACCAAATAAGGATTTATTATTAAATAGCAGGTACAATCTGCTATCAGATCAGCCATGAATATCCTGGTAACTTAGCTACCTGAATAGTAGCAGACCCTGGGTGGTATAAATGTTCAATAGCAATATTAAAAGAAGCCTGCATAAAACTTCTGTTCTAAGAAACTGAAAAGAGATTTCTTGTTTGCTTTGCTGTGCTCTCTGTTTACATTCTTTGCTCCGGAGAGCTGAGAGAAGAGAGAGTGGAAACTATCAAACTGCACATCATATATTGATGTTTCTGTTTGCTGTCTCTTCTTTAGCAACCCGGAATATAAGGACACTCCAATGGATATTGCACAACTTCCTCATCTGCCAGAGAAAACCTCAGAATCCTCCGAGACCTCAGATTCTGAATCAGACTCAAAGGACAACTCAGGTAACACAGGCAGCTGGTATCTATGTTTTTTTGTACCTTTTTAAGAGTTTTTTTTTCACAGACAGTATAGCCAACTGATGGGTTTATTTGCAGTTTAACATAGGATCTTACCGTTCTCTACCAGATCACAGCTTAACTTTAAAAAAAGTAAACAAATATTTAGGCTTATGAATGCATTGTAGCCATATTTGCAGTTGCATTATGTGGAGTTTCCACTTCCATAATCATAACTTAGTCATATGGACATATCATTTCTAGGCTCCTTTTTACAAGTTTCACAAGGGTGATGTGACAGGAGGTTAAATGCTTACCAAGATAAGCTATCTACTGATACAATTTCCTATTAAATCCATATATTGATGCAGAGCATGCCATACATTTGCCATCAGAGACTGTGTGAGATTTTTTAAGCAACAAGGGCACACAATGAATAGATGTATTAGTGTTGGTTATCTTGTAAGAGAGTTTTCATTGAATGGTAAAGGGAGATTCCGTTGTGTTCACTTGTACCCTAAGTGTAAAGAGCAAACATGAGAACCCCGGGGCCCCACCCACTCCGAGCAGTGAGACTATCCCTCCCATTTCCCCAATTTATTATGTGAAGCAAGGGGAATTGAACTATTGTGAATGAAGCCCCTTTTAGCAGTATTATAGCTCAGCAGCAAAGTTGGGCCTGTGGCAGTTTTAAGTGATTATGCAGAAAAGCCTAAGGCCATAAATCTGAAATTAATTAGATCATTAAGCTACAGGAAAGAAGCTGCAGTATTGAATTCTAAGAGTGCATCTCATGATGACATTAGAAAGATTAGATGAGTGTATCTATGGAAGATGGCTCCATCAGTGGCTAGAAGCCATTTATAGACAAAATGTGCATCTCCAGCTGACACAGAAGTGGGGACTCAAAAAAATAGTCTTGTGTCAGAGGAGGAATCCTGGGACCAGAAGTGGTCCGCTGTTAGCTGAGGAGAGTGGTAAAATGCAACCCATTTTATCAAGGTAGAACTCTGTGGTATTTTAAACCAAGATTTCCCCTTTTTTTAAATAGCATGCAGTCATTGGCCTGCAATATGAAGAGGATACAAACTATTTCCTCCCTGCCTCCCCCCTTAACTGAAAATTGTTTACAACTGCTTTGGAAGAGGGTGAAATACATGGATCTTGACTGCACATGATGTGTTGTTTCACTCTTTGTCACACCATAAGAAAATTTAGAATACCTCTGCAGTGAGAATTAGTTGATGTATGACTTACAGAAAAGAAAGGAGTTAGTTTGGCAGTCATTTGTATGGTGGAAGACGGTAAATGGTTATATGTAAAGATCCCATTTGATAAAATAAATTGGCTCCCTGCCTCAGACAGTCCCAGAGTAAGTATAAGTTTGGGCCCTTTCTAAACTGTGGTACCAATAGCAGAATCTTTCCTTTCTCAGAGAATTCTATGATAACAGTGAATACTTTCTCATATTTTTTTTCTGAGAAAGAAGAAATGTGCCACATTAAGCACAAATGGGGGGGGAATTAGAATCTGGCCTCCACTGATGTTTAGTGGTGAGTGGATTTCTCCCCATCCTGATGGATTATTTATTTATTTATTTATTTTATTGGGTTTTAACTGCCCTCCCCTGCCAAAGCAGGGCTCAGGGGTGTGTACAGCATGATAATTCATACAATCCAGAATTTACATATCTAATTCCCAACTGTGCCCCCTATGTATGGATATCCAAATCCACAGGTAGGGGGTACACTCACCTTAAACAGGCTTTCCTGCAAATATGGGTGACCCCCTCGGTTTGCAGAAAAATCTGAAAAGTAAAAAAACCCAAAAATTGGGGTGTTAAATTGTCCCTGAAAAAAAAAAAAAGATCTGCTCATGCGCAGGCAGTGCACTTACTGTAATGCAGCTGGAAAGGAACCTGGTGGTTGCTGCAGCAACAATGGGCCAGATCTGCCAGTGAGGGGTAGTGGAAGCCTCTGCAGGTCCACTCTGAGCAGCTCCAGGTGAGCAGGCAAGAGTGGAGGGGAAAGAGGGTGGGCTTCTCAAAGAATAAGGAAACCTTAGCAGGCCCATTCGGTGGACACCAGGGACTGCTTGTGGACTGGTCACCACCAGGGTCAAAGCAGGGAGCCACACAGGGCTCAGCTGTTGCCCTGGTGCACATTGGGAGCCACATTGGGAAGATTGATAGAAAAAGAGGGAAGGAACCCAAGAGGGGGAAGGGATTCACAGTCTCCACAAGTTTCTTGTGGGTCCCCAGTTGTTAAACTATAAAAACCTGTAAAACACATCATCCACAAGAACATCCATTTACTTCCTGCCCTAGGAAAGAGCAAGGTGTGGCATGGTGTAGTGGTTAAAGTGTTGGACTAGGATCTGGAAAACTCTGATTCAAATCCCCACTCTGCCATGGAAGCTTGCTGGATGACTTTGGGGGCAGTCCCACACTCTCTGCCTAACCCACCTCACAGGGTTGTTGCCAGGGGTCGTTTCGTAGAAAAAGAGCTAAGGAAACTCATTAGCATAACTCATTAGCATATGCCACACCCCCTGACATCACCGGAAGTGTGTCATAAGGCCACACACCCCACCCCCAACGGTCCCGGCCACCGCCGCTGGCCTTACAGCTCCACTGCCGAGCCCCATGAGGGGCCCTCCCTGGCCCCAGGCAGGCAGGAGTGGGGAGAGGCAGGGAGGAAGCAACTTACCCTCCCTCTTCTCCTGCCTCCTCCTGGCTGAATGAGGGCCGGAAGCGGGGTGGCCGGAAGCAGCTGGCGGGGCTTCGTCATGTGCCCCGCCCCCCATACCTCACCCGGGGGAACTGCGATCCCCCGCGATCCCCCCCGAAATGACCTCTGGTTGTTGCAAGGATATAACACAGGAGAGGAGAATGATGTAAACCGCTTTGGGTCCCCACTGGGGAGAAAGGCAGGGTATAAATACAATTTTTTAAATGAAGTAAATAAATAAGAATTGGCTCCTCTCATTTCTGCAACAGAATTGTAAGCTGAGCTAAGGATAAGAGACGAATGGTCTCATAGCTCAGCCTTTCCCTTTGCTACTAAAATACCTTGTTCCTCCCCTGTTTATTCCAGCAGTTGGCAGCTCTCTGGCACTCCTGCTGTGGAGGAAAGGGAGTTTCACTCAGAGCAGAGTGTGTCTCAAGCCTCTCCCAAAGCAATCCTGTCCTGATAAAAGAAGGTGCCTGGAGCCAGAAGCGAGTCTGGAGATCTGTTGTCTCTTGGTCTCCATAGAGTGTGACCAGACATATATACATGATATATTGAAATATGGCACTGAGAGCAGACCTAAATTTAGGTCTGTGTGACAAAACCATCGCCCATTTCCTGTGTTATTTCACAGCTGTGGGGAGATGAACCAAACCAATCAAATTGATCCTGAAGGGAAATGTGTTATTCCAGATGCTTATGCCAGAGATATTACCAGTAATAATATTACGCTGGCAAACTAGATCTCTAAGTGGCCTTCAGATCTTGCGATCATATTCTCAATGGTGTCTTTTCCACCTTTCTTTCTATATAGAAGACAATGAAAATTCAAAGTCAGACGAGAAAGGAAACCAGTCAGAAAACAGCTCGGAAGAAATCTGGGAACCAGTCGGATAATGAAATGAACTGTAATGACGATGGGAACAGTTCCAGCAACCAAGATAGCAGAGACAGTGATGACAGCTTTGAAAATTCTGACTTTGAGAATCAAAAGGCCCCTGAGGATAGTTTTGGCACTCTGGGTTCTATGCAGATAAAGGTGGAGCGCTACGTGGAGAGTGAATCAGACTTGCGGTTACAGAACTGTGAATCGTTGACCTCAGACAGTGCCAAGGACTCGGACAGTGCAGGAGAAGGAAATGCTCAGTCTTCCAGCAAACATCAAAAGAGGAAGAAAAGGAGGAAAAAACAAAAAGGAGGCAGCACAACCCGCAGGAGGCTGTCAAGCACTTCAAGCCCCAATGGACTCGACTCAGCAATGGTGGATCAGCCACAGCTGCTTTCATCACCAAACAGTGCCTCAGTGCTCAAAATCAAAACCGAGATCTCAGAACCTATCAATTTTGATAATGATAGCAGTATTTGGAATTACCCACCCAACAGGGAAATCTCAAGGAATGAATCACCCTACAGTATGACCAAGCCCCCAAACTCAGAGCACTTCCCCTCACCGCAAACCAGCAGTAGTTTACATGTCTCCATTCCAGACTCTGTTCTCACCCCACCAGGGACTGAAAATACTGCCAGCCGCAAATCTCAGTTCAGCACCTCATCCAATTCAGCCTTGGCTCCCGTATCCTCTGATCCTTTATCACCACCATTGTCAGCATCTCCACGGGACAAGCATCCGGGAGGCCCCAGCACTTCCAACTCTTTGTTATACACTGGGGATCTGGAAGCCCTCCAGAGGCTGCAAGCAGGCAATGTGGTCCTTCCTTTGGTTCACAGGGTAACTGGAACCCTTGCTGCCACCAGCACGGCTGCTCAGAGGGTTTATACCACTGGCACTATTCGGTATGCTCCAGCTGAAGTTACTTTAGCCATGCAGGGCAATCTCCTCCCCAACACTCATGCTGTTAACTTTGTGGATGTTAACAGCCCCAGCTTTGGCCTGGATCCTAAAACACCGATGGAAATGCTCTACCACCACGTTCACCGACTCAATATGTCAGGACCGTTTGGAAGTGCTGTGAGCGCAGCCAGTCTGACCCAAATGCCTGCAGGGAATGTGTTCACAACTGCCGAAGGACTCTTCTCTACTCTTCCATTTCCTGTGTACAGCAATGGTATTCATGCCACACAGACACTGGAACGGAAAGAGGATTGAAATATGACCACATACTGTGTTCAGTGTTATACTCTGAGGCATAGACTATATTTTAATTTAGACCTTTAATTCTAGCACTTTGAATTTGAGCAGGTCAGCTTATTCTCTCAATATGATGGTCCCCATTTCATCCCCTTTCTCTTTAACTTGACTTATTCTTTAATGTAAAAGATTTTTTTAAAAAAAATTGCCTTCAGAGAGCTGAAGTATCAGTTGCCTGCCATTTTGTCTTCTTCCAAGATGTGTATTTTTTTTCCTTTGCATCTTTATTAAGATGCCTTTAATATGTGTATGCCTCTGCCATAGAATACTCAGTGTTGTGGTAAAGAGATTTTAATGGGACAACCATTGGGTTTACTTCATGATCTTGATATGATCAAGATTAAAAGAAACAAGCATAAAACAATGTGCCCTGTTTGACTAAGTCAAATGAAAAGGGATTTTTTTTGTTCCTAATTCCTTTAAAAATAGGGGATAGTATTTTAGAATATTATGCAGAGTTTAATTCACTTTTTATGGTTAAGATTTTCTTACTTGCACATAAATAATTTGTGTTCTTAAAAAGTTAATTTCTGGCCTGTGATTAGAATAATAAGAGGATGGACTAAATGTTAATTACAGAAACGTTAACTTAATTTCTAAAACCATGGTGCTATCATTTATTAATCTGTAATGTCTTCACACAAATATGCAGCTTGTGGGCTGGGGTTTTTGAAAGGAATGTTTTCTGTACTTGTCTATAGTCAGGTGCTGCAGTCTCCTTGGTTAGTTAAGATAAAAGCCCTCATTAACATTTGCTGCAGGACTTAATTTTTTTTACCTCCAAACTAACAAACATAGCCTCACATTAAATTTAAATGGATCTGGAAGCCTTTTTTTTTTGGTAAATGCTCTTAAAAAGAAAACTCAATTAAATTGACATGAGGATCAGAGGTTTGTTTTAGGTGTGTATTGTTTCTTTTTTTAATTTTCTCAGTGTAACTGAGGCTAATTTACAACTTCCAAATAACACTTCAGAGTAAGGGGAAAAAGATATATTTAACATGTTTTTTCATTTAATGTTATAGAGGGAAGGTTGTAAATTTTTTGTTTGTTTTGTTCGTTGAGTTGTCTTCTGTAATTCCCCCTCCACCCCTCTAGTGTTGAAGCCAATATGTTTTCAAGAATGGGTTAATGAGCTTGAAATAGATAACTGCAACTAAAAACTGCACATTAAGTATTTTAAAAAAAGAAAAAAGAAAAAAAGAAAAGAAATCTCCTATTTTGTCTTTGTTGCCAGAAATCAGTGTAGTGTCAAACACTCCAAATGACTGTCGAGTATAAATTCTTCTTCCACCCCATCCATTGTTGGCAGCTGTTTGTTAAGGCATCTAATAACAGATGTGAGAACTGTAATGTGTACAATGTGTAAGTGTCCTTGGCTGTCAGTCCCATTGCAGTTTCAATGTGTGTTACTATATGCAGTATATACTAAGCTAATGTAGTTGTTTTGTCTTTTGTCTTCTCTGTGCTTTATCTCTAGTCTGGAGTGGCAAATGCCCATTCCTAACAGTCCTAGTGAACCAGTGATTCTTGGGGGTTAGTGGTTTTTTGTGTGGTGACCTTCCTCTGTAATGTCACCTTATGCTGCTTCCACTGTCTGTATACCTTTTCATTTCCGCTGTTGCTTTGCTGTTGTGTATTCTCAAATCACTCTTTCTCTCTTCACCCTCCCTTTCTTTGTTTCTCCCCCTATTTCTTCCTCTTTCTCTCTTTCTCCATTCTCAGAGATAAAAGACTCTTAACTAGCTCAAGGTTAATGGAGCCATTTTTTTCCCACAGAGGAATTCTGGGTATGACTTACTCTTAACAGTGTGTGCCACACAATGCACTAAAGAGTAATACTCAGATATATTAAACAAAGTGATGCCATATAGCCTCAGTTGTTAACATTTCCAGAGTCCCTTGTGCTCTAACTGTAATAAGATGGTGCATTTCTTTGGTTTTCTCCCAAGTAGGTTAATGGAGCAATTTTCAAGTGAGATAGAAAATTCTTTCAAAGGTCAACTGACACGGTTAAAAAGGGCAACTGAGCTTAGGATTGTCATATATATATATATTTGCATATATGTGCAATGTTAATGTATACTCAGTTGTCCTCTACATTTTGGGATAATACACTTGTGAAACCAAACAAGCTAGTAATTTAGAATACGAGGAGTAAGTCTGAGAAAGAATGGAAAGGAATAATGCCCAAAACAGGCATTGGATGCTGCAAATTCTGATACTGAATTTTTTAAAGAGTTAGATTTGAAGGATTTTAGTAGGTTTCAAGGCCAAGGGAAGCTGATTTGGGTTTACTTTTGGAAGCTCTGCTCTAGCTATTGAACAATCAAAGGAGTGCACCTATCAGCTACAAAGAACAGCTAGACAGCTGTTGTTGTTTTCTTTTTTCTTTTCTTTTTTATAAATGTTTCTGTGTTGTGTCAAAATGATTTCTGGTGATTTAAACTAACAGATAATCACAGCTGCTGTCTAAATCCATAGTGTTTAAAATTACAAAATGGAAAAAAAACTTCATTACCTGTGAAGACTGTGTCTGTGTTTTTAACTATTTCTTGTACAAATATATGAAATCTTTTATGAGGAGACTGGTGCCAAGTAGCTGAATAAAGGGGAAAGGGATTCTGTTCGTATAAATCTTAGCAGTGTTACCAACTCTACAATATATAAAAAAATTAAAATGTTAAAAAATGACAGCTATGGTACATTTATTTTGTGTTAACCTAACTGAATCTAACTTCTTGAGTGCCTGGCTTATTCGAAACATTTTTTTTCATTGATCATTGATAATGCTGCAAATCAGAAATGTACATACTTCATTTACAACAGGGTTCTTTTTATACTTTTGTAGATTCTCATACATGTCATACATGGTTGTCTTTATGTAACTTAATTTTTTTTCATCCTGCAGGTGCCATTTTCATAATAAACTTCTCTTGGATTTGTTACTATCTGGCATCATTTCTTTTACATATGATCATCCTGATTAATTAAAGCTGGTAGTATTTGTTTGAGCAGGTACCTTGTTTAATTATGTTCTTTTTAAAAGCTAAAAAAAGAGAGAAAAAAGAAGGGCATGACTAGACGATTTTTAAAGCTTATGAGCTGATCAAAGAAGCGATGGAGATGCAGGCTGACAATGCTAATCCAAATACTACGCAAAACGTGCCACCATCCTAAATTCTCAGCTACCCAACTCATTATCATACTGAGCATTTTATGCACATTATCAAAGCTGAATGATGGACCTGCAGTACTCACAGTTATAAAAGGTGTGCTTTTAAAATTAATGCACTCCAATAGAAGACAGCTTACATAACATTAATCATGTAAAATGCACTTTATATTTTTCCTTTATTATGCTCCACATTCTTAAACCAAACTCTTCCGTCACTCATGTCTAAGTTCCTGATTTTTCTAACGACTTTCTTCCTCCAGATTAGAAAACGTTTCACCTGTGTTGTATTGGCCAGGCTTACTGCCAAGCAAAGTGAGTGCAGAAGAGTTTGCTGGTATACAACAAACAGAAAAGCTAACTTCCAAGTCAGATCCCATGAACTAGGCCTGAAAACTGTATGGAAGGGTTTCTTTTGAAAAGGCAAACAGTAACTACCATCTCAAAGAATAGGGTGTGTGTGTGTGTGTGTGTGTGTGTGTGTGTGTGTGTGAGAGAGAGAGAGAGAGAGAGAGAGAGAGAGAGAGAGAGAGAGAGAGAGAGAGGCTGTGGACTTTTAGAAGATAACGCTAAGAATTATTATGGTGCTTTGACCTCAACAGAATGGGATTTTCCTGTGTCACTGTTCTGTTCCTGTGAAATATCCTGATTTGTACATTCTTTACACAGCCTTTCTGCACCCTAGTAAAGCAAGTGTTATACTTCGTGCTGACTTGTTATGAAAACTAACCTTCATTTTGGTGTAAAGGAAGATTTTGGGGTGGCACTTGTGACTGCATTCAGGGGTGGCCGGGGTGCCATCCAAGCCCAGCAATTCTAGTGGAGCCAGAGTATTTGTTCTTATTTATTTATTTATTTATTTATCACATTTATGCCCTGCCCTCCCCACAATGCAGGCTCAGGGCGGCTCACAGTCAGTATATAAAATACAGTTAAAACCACATAAAACCATATAAAACAATTCCATTATTAGTCATCCAAGTTAATCATTTAAAATGGCAGAACCATTTTTATTTTTATTACCTCAAGGCAATTCAGATATATGAAACTGCATTCTGACAGTGCAAATGTAGAAAATCATGTTCATTTTTTAAAAAATATCTCTAGCCCACCTTTCACACAAAGGAGCTGAGGTGGCTCACAGAATATCATCCAGGCTCCATGCCTTCAATTATTCACACTTTCAGGTCTTGTTTAATGCTCATGTGGAATTAAGCAGAACTTTAGTTAGCACTTTACTCACATTCTTGTTCCTGATTGGCTTATAGGGCTCAGGAGATGGATTGCATCCATCAATGTGCATAATGAACATAATGTGCAGGGTGAATCCTACAGCATCCACAATACAGTGCTTTCGGTTATGCAGCTGGAAGTGACATTGCAGCATTGATGGACATCATTTTGCTCCCCTCCTTTTCTCCCACTGCCCAACAGAATGACAGCGGCTGACCAAAGCAATTGACAGGACATTGCCTGCCAAATTGGGCAACCTCACCAACCTATTGCTTGATTGGCTAGTTTGTCTCATAGAGATCTGATGAGATACCGGAAGTAGGATTCTTATTATACACATTCATAACAAACCAATCAGGCATAATTCATTATTCCTTCTTTCAGTTCAGTCTGGTTCTTGCTCTTTTATTTGCATTATCTGTGGCCTAGTCTTGGACGCCCAATTTTGCAGTGCTTTCTTGTATGTCCACCGAGAAATTGGTCCTTAAGAGGTATGCTTCAGAAGTTACATGAAACATGGAGTCAGTAAAATATTACACCATTTCTGTTT